GGGGGGGAGTAGAGAAGAAAGGAAAGAGGGCAGTGCGATGGGGAAAGAGGAGGGGAGGGATGAGGTAAGGAGAGTGGCGTGAACGGAGGTTGATAAGTCAATTTTTGCGGGAAGAATAGAGGATAAGTTTGGCTCGGGAGAGGACGGAAGGGGAAGGGGAGGGAAAGTGTTTGTATGAGATGAGATACGGAATGATATGACAGGTAATAGGCACAGTGAGACACGTGTGATGACAGGATAAGATGAGGTGAGATGTGTGAAGTAAGTAAAGTGAGGTGATGGGCTGAGGTGGGGTGTGATGTGGTGAGCTGAGGTAAGATTGAAAGAGATGATGATGATGATGATGATGATGATGATGATGATGATGATGATGATGATGATGATGATGATGATGATGATGTGTCTAGAGCTGGAAATTTGTCAACCCGCAAAAAAGAAAGGGGAAAAAACCCAACAACCCCAACCCTCAACAGCTAATATGATATAATGGCTTCTAGTTCAGTGCATATTATTATGTATCTTTTAGAAAACTGTGCCATTCAGCCGATTTGAATTATTCATTGCGCGTTTTCCCGGGGCTAATATTGTGCTGATACGACTCGACCTAGAAGCTCAGAAAGAAGGTATAGGACTCGACTCCTCATCCATCGACGCTTAGACGTTTGGGAGAAGATGGAGCGAAAACAGATGCAATACTTTTGTCTGTAGGGCAGTTCCACGGCAACTGACGGGACAAATGAGGTATTTCATCTGTCCCTTTAGTTATCGAAACTAAACACGTCAGAGAATTTGTATGATAAAATACTTTTTTCCCCCAAATGATTGCATTTAATATTATTCTTAATACGTATGTCAGATGTTGGGATCATTTAAAGTTGAAATAAATTAATTGATATTGAATTACAGTGTTATATCACTGTAAAAGAGTATAGTCCAAATGTCCCGTCAGTTGACGTGGAATAGCCCTTCCTGGCACAGTTGCGCGGCAAAGGTATGGAAGTAGGTCTCTGGTGCCACCACAGATTCTGGGTCAGTGCCTACTACTGTTATACATACCGTAGGTGATGTTTTGGGTACGACTGCTTGCTGCTGCTACCTGTTGTTGTTGTTGTTGTTGTTGTTGTTGTTGTTGTTGTTGTTGTTGTTCAGTTCTTCCTGGCAGACGAGAAAGAGAATGAGCCGTCTTTTTTCAGTCTTGGTTTTCGGTTTTTTGTTTTTCCGTGCTCTCTCTCTCTCTCTCT